CATGTGTGTGTACATGTGTGTGTGCATGTGTGTGTGTATGTGTGCATGTGTGTGTGTGCATGTGTGTGTGCTTGTGCGTGTGTATGTGTGTGCATGTGTGTGTGCATGTGTGTATGCATGTGTGTGTGCATGTGTACATGTGTATGTACATGTGTGTGTGCATGTGTGTGTGCACGTGTGTGCGCATGTGTGTGTGCATGTGTGTATGTGTATTTGTATGTGTGTTTGTGTGTGTGTGCATGTGTGTGTGTGCATGTGTGTGTCCATGTGTGTGTACATGTGTGTGTCCATGTGTGTGTCCATGTGTGCTTGTGTGTGTGTGCATGCATGGTACCTTGAGGATGGAGAGTGTGTCTAGGCCCAGGCGTTTCTGCTGGACGATGAAGTCCTTGATTGGCTGGGGCAGTCTGATGCAGTCTATCTTGCCCATGGTGTGGTTGTGTTTGCCTTGGTGCACAGGTGCGCTGATGGTCTTCACGCGATGGTCGGCGAAGAACCGCACCGAAATGCGCGCAGGACAGTCGTAGTCAACACCCGACAACGGAATGGCTTAACCAGTGCACAGGGGAAGAGGGGAGGGCGGCATGAGTTCAGTATACATCTGGGGTTCTGGGGTTCTAGGGTTCTAGGGTTGTAAAATCGACGAGATGTACACGAGCACGCACACGGCATCGCTCAACAGACAGCAGACTCAAATCGCACATACAAGCAGCATGCAGCAATACGTGAATACGTGCAGCTGCGTCTCTTGAGATGTTGTGGGTGGTGTGTGCATTGCAGCCACATTCGCACGGCACTTGTGTCTTTGCACGCACATACCCACTCTCTGCCGTTCCACGGGAACAGCGGATTGATACTGTTTGCCTTTCTTCTTGGGCCCCAATTTGCAGTAGAACCTGCATTTGGGAGGAAGGAATACTCTCAGTGTACACACAGCAGAGGCAGCACTACCAATATGCTCATGCAAATGCGACAGCGCTACTACTGCCCTGTCACTACAACTGAGATACACACAGCCATTCCAGTGGCCCAATCAATCGCACCCATGCCCATGCATATATTGGCATGCCCGTCCCCACCGTGGCTATAGTGTTTAGGGCTTAGGGTTTAGAATTTAGAGTTTAAATTGAGTTGCTCGTGCGTCAGCTGTGATGATATACATCGTACACAACAGGCGCACATGAGATCATTAACACAGCCACACAGGTGTAACAACCCCTACACATATGGACTTGATACATTTGGACATGATGCATATCACTTGTGCAATGAATGTAATACATATCACTTGTGCACTGGATGTGGTGCCTGTGTGTGTGCATGTGCTGTGTGTGTGCATGTGCTGTGTGTGTGCATGTGCTGTGTGTGTGCATGTGCTGTGTGTGTACATATGCTGTGTGTGTACATGTGCTGTGTGTGTGCATGTGCTGTGTGTGTGCATGTGTTGTGTGTGTGCATGTGTTGTGTGTGTGCATGTGTTGTGTGTGTGCATGTGCTGTGTGTGTACATGTGCTGTGTGTGTGCATGTGCTGTGTGTGTACATGTGCTGTGTGTGTGCATGTGCTGTGTGTGTGCATGTGCTGTGTGTGTATATGTGTTGTGTATGTGCATGTGCTGTGTGTGTGCATGTGCGGTGTGTGTGCATGTGCTGTGTGTGTGCATATGTTGTGTGTGTGCATGTGCTGTGTGTGTATATGTGCCATACGTTTTGCCGTAGTCCGTTGTGTGCTTCCACACTCTCCGTGAGCCGGTGACTGAGAACCAGTGCTGCACCCACAGCCATATCTCGTTGATGTTGGGTGTGTTGTCCACTGACAGTTCGGTCTCTTCGACGTTGTAGAACACCACTTTGCGCAGACGCTCAACATTTATGTTTGGCAGACTGAGCCCTTCGCTGCCGTCCTGCGTGGGTGAAAATAAAACAGGAGTTTTTAAGGTTTTAGGGTTTTAGGGTTTTTAGACGTAAATGTTCAAAGGCGCCACGTGGTCTCTGGAGTGGCAGGTTTGCCGTGAGTGTCCTGCACGTTTATGTTCAGTCATCCGCTGTGTATATAACTGGTATGTGTCATGGCAGATAGGGTTTTAGGGGTTTCTCGTTTTAGGTTTGCGGGTTTTCGGGTTTAAGGATATAAGGTACATATAGGGTGTAGGGTTTGGGGTTTAGTGTGTTGTGTGCTGTGTTGTGTGTGGGCATTGCTTACTAATATA